CAACACATTTCACATTGAAGCACTGTATCGGAGCTTGATTCGTTTTGAGAAAAGCATGTGATCTATGATGTCCGAAGCTTCATTCGCCTGAAAACCACGTGACTGCTTCAGTATCTGGTTCAAACGAAGCGAACCTCAGCGCGTTTCCTTTACATTATGTTACATTATAATGTGTTAGCATTGTTTTTTTGTTTATTTTTAATCGTAATTTATATATTGACCTCAAAAATTAACTTTGGCCATAAAATAACAGTATAAGGACTGAGGCAGAGTTAAAATAAACAGATCATAGATTTAATTTATGAATTTATGTTTTATTTATTTTACTTATTTTAGTGCCAGTAAACCGACACAAATGAATGACTTTGACAATGACAATTATTTATATAAAATATAATAAAACAAAGAATCAGTTGTTGAACCACATGTGAAACCACTGGCTGTATCGGAACATAACACTTTGGAAGGTGTAATTTATTTTTATGACCACTAGATGGCCACAGCATAAACCGTTTTAAAAAGCTTCGAGTAATGAACCTTTTTCCGATACAATTGTGTTGAAAGCTTCGCTGGTTCAGAACGCTTCACTTCGCCATCACTAGGTAAATCCACAGGTTGGAAACTCCACAATCCAGCAAGTTCTATTTAGTGACTGAGTGTTTGTTTGGCATGCTGCTCTTTATACAGTTCCAGCTTCCTGTCACGTGAATGGTCACGACAGGCCAATCATACATTTCTTAAAGACATACACACTAAAATGTTAAGAGGAATAAAATAGACTTAAGAAAACATGTAAACCAGTTAAAACTAGGGATACTCCGATCCGCCTTTTTTGCCTCCGATACCGATTCCGATACCTAGGGTTCGGTATTGGCCGATACCGATCCGATACCAGTGAAGTTTTTTTCACCCATTTAAATAAATGTAGAATTTATATATCTCTTGTGTGTGGAACTGATAATCATTATTTCACAATCTACTAGATACAGACTACTTCATTATAAAGAAAAATAAAATAGATTATAAATATACATAGGCCTATATTTTTTCATATTTGTTTATTTTATTTTTCTTTATAATGAAGTAGTCTGTATCTAGTAGATTGTGAAATAATGATTATCAGTTCCACACACAAGAGATATATAAATTCTACATTTATTTAAATGGGTGAAAAAAACTTCACTGGTATCGGATCGGTATCGGCCAATACCGAATCCTAGGTATCAGAATCGGTATCGGAGGCCAAAAAGGCGGATCGGAGCATCCCTAGTTGTTATGCTGTTTTACGTTATGTTGTTTTGTTACGTTTTGTTTTATGTTGTTTTGATATGTTGTGTTATAATATGTTTTATGTTGTTTTATTTTATGTCATGCTATTTTATGTTGTTTTGTTTTGTTACGTTATGTTGTTTTATGCTCTTTTGTTACATTGTTTCACATTACATTGTTTTGTTGTATTTTATGTTGTTTGATGCCATGTCATTTTGTTACGTTATGTTGTTTTGTTATATTTCATGTTGTGTTCCTTTATATTTTGTTACGTTTTGATATGTTTTGTTGTTTTTTATGTTATGCTGTTTTATGTTACGTTATGTTTTGTTTTACATATGTTTAACATAACATTACAAAATATATATTTATATTTTAAAGGTGTATGAGGAATATTCCTCATGTCACCACATGGATGTCTGAAGAGTAAAAGCTTCAGGCATTCTAGATAAGCTTCTGATAATAAATTTCAGTGGATTTGAACATCACGTGTCTCTTACATCAGTGACAGTCAGGACTGAGGCAGAGTTAAAATAAACAGATCATAGATTTAATTTATGAATTTATGTTTTATTTATTTTACTTATTTTAGTGCCAGTAAACCGACACAAATGAATGACTTTGACAATGACAATTATTTATATAAAATATAATAAAACAAAGAATCAGTTGTTGAACCACATGTGAAACCACTGGCTGTATCGGAACATAACACTTTGGAAGGTGTAATTTATTTTTATGACCACTAGATGGCCACAGCATAAACCGTTTTAAAAAGCTTCGAGTAATGAACCTTTTTCCGATACAATTGTGTTGAAAGCTTCGCTGGTTCAGAACGCTTCACTTCGCCATCACTAGGTAAATCCACAGGTTGGAAACTCCACAATCCAGCAAGTTCTATTTAGTGACTGAGTGTTTGTTTGGCATGCTGCTCTTTATACAGTTCCAGCTTCCTGTCACGTGAATGGTCACGACAGGCCAATCATACATTTCTTAAAGACATACACACTAAAATGTTAAGAGGAATAAAATAGACTTAAGAAAACATGTAAACCAGTTAAAACTAGACACACACACACACACACACACACACATATATATATATATATAAAGTTTATTTACAGACATTGTAATGTAACACGGTGTAAAACTTGACATAACCATTTTGATTCTGTTACTCAACAAAATACCTGATACTGCGTTTACTGTACGCATGAATCCCGTTTCATTTTATGAAAGGTCAAGACTCCATATTAGCGAGCGGTGTGTGTGAGTCCCTTCAGCGGCTGCTCCAGAGCTCCAGCTGCACTATTGAGCCCAGTGGACTTATTTAGCAGATTGACACTTGCATTAGCCTCATTTTCTCTAGTACTAGATTATAATGACAGCAATCATCACTGGTGCTGCTCTCCACCCCTCCGTCTCTCTCCCGCTCTCAAGTAGGTCACTTAACTGATCGTCAGAGGAATGGGATCTTACTCTAGACGAATATACCAACAGCAAATTTAAGAGGTTTCTATAGCCAATCCCACAATTGTAAAGCGTTTTTGAAAAAATACATACCCCACCTTTAATTTTCAATCTGGTACCATGGCAAAGATGTGCTTCCCTTTCCTTTATTGCCAAAAATACTTGATTTAATGATTATGACAGCAGTACTGGGGACAGATTACAATTTTTTTTTAATTGCTATTTTGTACACATAAATACCAAATGAACCGCAATAAATTTTAATTACTTTTCCCTAATTTTTGAGAATGTTGAAAGATTAAATTTGCATTAAAATCAGGGAAATTGTACTTTGCACTTTTTCTAAGTCCTTAAAGCTATTATAATATATCCTTCAAAAACACAATGACTGGTTAAAAACAAACAAATAAATCTATTAATCTAGCTGGATTACAACCAAACACGCCTTTGCCTACACTTCCCATCATTCCATGTGGTTGCACTAGAACAAGAATATATACATAAAGCATGCAAACCTAATGCCCATCCTTTACTTTTCATTGTGTTGCACTAGCGCTAACAAAGCTTCAAAAGTCTGTCGGGAAGTGAAAAAGAAATTGTGCCCATTTTATTCTGACCAAAATCACGTCGTGATGTTTCCCGGCCTCGTAATTGGGAATTTCCCGGGAGGATTTGAAGGCAGCATAACACTACGACTGCGGCTGATGTATGATGAGGTGCACTGACCTTGCCCTGGAGTGAATTCAAACCGTATGTCATTCAACTCCTTCCTTGAATTCCTGAGGGAAAGACGGAGAGAGAGAGAGGAGATATCTGTGGTGAGAAATGGGCGTCCACCTGTCCGTCTGACTGTAAGAAAGCCAAGTGAGATCACAGCCATCTGTGCTGTTTCACTGAGCGTGTTTGCCGAGCCTGAAGTACACACACACACACACACACACACACACAGATACGAGCCTCAGCGGAGTCCTGTCCTCAGAGCTCTCCATATAATCATTTCAGAAAAAAATTTGACAGTGCCAGTAAGCAAGCAATCAGTGCCATGTTTTGTAAACCAGCGAGCTGCTTCTGTGATTACAGGGGTTTGGAGGAGAGATCGTTTTACACAAGCATTCAGGTGGGCTTTTAGAGGGAGTGCTGTGTTCATTTGAGTCGCTTTAATGAAGGAAGGATTCACTGTACTGTAGGTGATCTGCGGTTAAACGGCATTTCATATCACTAATGGATCTTTCATCATTTATAATGTTTTTTCTCCATTTCGGAGATTAATGTGGTCACTATGAACTGTTGCTGTATGGAAAAGAGTTGTACTGCAATGGAGGACTAGGAGTGAAATGAAGGAATAATTATAATTATTAATTTAACATAAAAAGGAAATAAATTATTACTTTTTTTAATTGACAAATTAATAGACATTTAAAACTGCATATTTAATTAGTTTTCAAATGTAATTAAATAAAAATAAATTAATAAATATATTTTTTAAATACATTGACATTTAAAACTACTTGATTCACGTTTTAAAATGTAATTAAATAAATTAAATATTTCTTACATTTTAAAATAAATTGACATTTAAAACGGCTTCATTTGTTCTAAAACACAAATTACACAAATTAATAAATACTTCTTAAATTAAAAAAATAAATGAACATTTAAAACTGTCTATTTAATTTGTGTTTTAAATGTAGTTAAGTATATGGACCATAAATAGTGTCAAAATCTACTTAACTATATACAAAACCTAACCAAAAACAACTGTTATATTATATGCATTACACACATCAGGGGATTATAATGACAGCAATCATCACTGGTGCTGCTCTCCACCCCTCCGTCTCTCTCCCGCTCTCAAGTAGGTCACTTAACTGATCGTCAGAGGAATGGGATCTTACTCTAGGCGAATATACCAACAGCAAATTTAAGAGGTTTCTATAGCCAATCCCACATTATGATGCATGGTGGGTTGTCAATGGCACGGTGGACCTTGAAGACGAAAAAGGATTTTAAAAAGATAAACCATCATGCTGGCAGCGATAAATATGTTATGGAGCTAATAAAAAGTAGTCTGTAGGGGTGTGAAGTAATCTCAGCAGGCAGATGAAATAAAACCTGGGTTTTTTTTCTTCTGATTTTAATGATTTCTGTTGTTTTGTATATCTTCCTCCTATGCCTTGTTACACTTTTGTCATTTCATTTCAGTTTAAGGCTGATATTATCATATCAATAACATTCTACTGCTTTCTACCCACTAGCATCAGAAAATAAATAGTATCCGTTTGTGTGTGTGTGTGTGTGTGTCTGTGTGTGTATACACACAGACACACACACACACACACACACACACAATTTGTGTATTTTAAGGTTAAAAAAACTTAAATCAGTATCATTGAGTATATGAGGATTAAACATGCGTTTACTTCAGGTAATTATATACTGTTTCAGAGCAAAATTCAGAACAAAAGACAGCACTTGTCATGCTCCAAAGTTACAAAGAGAAAAGCCTCATTATTTACATGATAAATAGATAGATACTAACAAATAAATAGACAAATAAAAGAATTAAGACAGTAAACCATGTTAATTAGTTTATAATTATGTTATGTTAATAAGTAAATATTTATTTAATTATTGATGGAGTTGTTGCATTGCAAAGCCCATGACTGTAAAATAAATAAATACATAAACAAACAAACAAAAATCAAAAAAGGAAATCAAAATTAATCAAATTTGCAATGGGTTTACTTCAAACATTTTGGAAAGGGTAAAATATCAGGATATTATTTACCAAGTAACTTCTCCAATCAGACTCATCCAATCAGAATTTAGAGCTGAAATCTAATTAAAAAATAAGAAATATAAAAATAAGATAAAAGTAATAGAAATAACTAAAAAAGTAAATAATATAATAATATAATATAATATAATAGTAACACTTCACAATAAGGTCTTATTATGCTAATTAATGCATTAACTGAGATTAAATAACTATGAGCAATTCATTTGTTACATCATATATTATTAACTAAAATTAGCATTAACTAAAATTAACAATGAGCAATTCATTTGTTACACTACACGTATATTAATTGTTTTTAAAATTAGTTAATAAAAATACAACTGTTCATAGTTAGTTCATGATAGCTCTGGTACATTAATAAATGTTAACATACAACTTTTGATTTCAATCATGTTTTAGTAAATCAGTGTTAATTTTGACAGCAAATTTTTATTTAGTTTTAGTCATAGTCTTTTGACTAAAATGCCATTTAGTTTTAGTCATATTTTAGTCACCTGAATTGTTTTTAGTTTTAGTCTAGTTTTAGTCGATTACATATCATAAGATTTTAGTTGACTAAATCTACAGTAAATTTAGTCGGTTAAAATCTAATGGGTTTAGTTACAGTCTTCATGTTGTAAAAGAAAATAATAAATTAATATTTATTAATGTAAAAATAAACTGACTTTTAAAAATCTCTATTTAATTCACATTTTAAAATGTAGTTAATTAAATTATTTTTTTTTTTTATTTAAAAATAAATCAACATTTAAAACTGTCTATTTAATTTATGTTTTAAAATATAGTTTAAAACATAATAAATAAATATTTTTTTAAAAATAAAATAACATTTAAAACTGTCTATTTAATTTGTGTTTTAAATGTAGTTAAGTATATGGACCATAAATAGTGTCAAAATCTACTTAACTATATACAAAACCTAACCAAAAACAACTGTTATATTATATGCATTACACACATCAGGGGTGATATGAAATATTTTGCTTTTCAATTTTCAAAAAATGATATTCGGTATCACTGACATCATTACAACTAAAGATGTGATGCCAAATGAAAATCTGAAAACATAATGATTATCTCCCAAAACGGGCTGAGGGACTATCTAACAGTGGTATAATGGTATGATGGTTCCTGGAGCGAATCTTCATGATCCTAAGGCTCTGGCGTTCTCAGTAAACACACCTGGAGTGCGTCAACGCTCTGGTTCTTCTCACTCATGTTTATGATAAAGCGAGATCTGAGCCAGACCTTCACTTTGTTCTCTCCAACATCAAACAGTCTGTTCTGCTTCAGCAACAAGGCCTGACAACCTCATAAACGTTACGTTTGCAGAGGAAAGGCAAAGGACACAAATAATATGCACAGGCTGCAGTCATTTAAGCAGGAGAGAAGACTGAAGTCACCAGAGCTACGGGAGATGAAGCTCGTCATGCTTCACCGGGGAATGTGTCAGACAGACAGGAAGTAGGTGGACACTCTGGGTGAAAAGTGTCATGTCAAGAACACGTCTAGGTCAGATTTCATGCCATTTTAAAGCCAATTTCAGCACCGTTTTAGCTTGTTCTAAAAGTATGCAGCTTAATCGTGCTGCCTTCTAAGAAACCTTCTTTTAGGTTTCAGATTTATCCTTCACAAAGATGACAATCCTATAATGGACTGTGACGAGCTCAGTGAAAAAAAATCCCCATTAGGCTGCTGTCCCTTTAAATCCGAATGCACAGCTGCAATGGATCAATGGATGCAATGTACTGATACACGTTCTCCCAAATGTTTACGTTCACTTAAGACGTAATCAACTGTGTTTACGTGAATACTCGTCAAAACAGACAATTCGACATAATTTTGAGTGTAATTCTCCGTTCATGCGACGCGAAAGAGTACTCGCGTGCTGTGAGACGCGCTTTCTGTGTGTGTGTGCTTCAGTGTCTGCACTCAGAAAACC